GCCAGATCGCGACGAAGGCGTTCATTCTCAGCGATGATATTGTCCAACCTCTGTTTGGTTTGCCTAGCTTGTGCCATGGTCGCTTGTATTGTCTTTTGCGTTGGGTTTGAAGATGAGCAGAGGTCCAAGGCAAGTCTTGCTGCGATGTTTTTGGTCCAAGCGAGTTTGCTGGAGTGAGGTCATCTCTCTGTGTGGTCTCATCAGTGGCTATCGGAGGATCTTCAGTCACGCCTGCCATGGATGTATTTAAGTATTTCCACAGACGGCGCCAATTGTGGAGAAGTGGTTTGGAAATACTCTTCAGATCCTGGGAGACGCTAGTGATCCTCAGCTAGTCACCTGAAAAGATACAAACACTCCGGTCGGGGGTGCCGGAATTTGCACTCCGATGGGCAAGTCAGTTCAGACACTTAGGATAGCTTGTTTACTAAGTTAAGTGAAGTGATTCTTACATACCTTTCTAAATATGTGGTTCTTGTATTTATACTTGCTTTTTGGGCCTCAGGGCCTGAGCCTACTTTTATCCCATTTCCCTTTTATTTATTCAGAGCTACTGATCTCCAGCTATTCGGCCTTCCTAACGTATTCGGCATCGTAGTCACGCAATATGGAGCCGAATAATATCTGATTTCTGGGGTACGCACCTTCCGACTCTTCTATAGATTCGGCTCCCACAAGAATTATTGAAATACATGATTCATGCTTTTGTCACTCTTGGAAGCTTTGATCAACCAAATTGGAAAACTTAACTTAAATTGTGGATTTACACGATTTTATTATTGCTCCTACATGTCATTTCTTGTATGATCCTTTTGAATTCTAAAGTTTCCAAGGGAATTTATTCATGCACTTTGGGAATTGAAGCTTTAAACCTCATGGTTTATATCTTTGTAATTTAATTAGAATCTATGCTCTTTCAAATTGGAAATTTGAAATTTATTTCCAAGTGTTGCTTTTATTTGATGTTTTCAACCCAAATTCTAACATGATTAATTGAGTTTTGGGAGTGGACTACATGTAAATGGAGTTGAAATTTGTAAAGAAGTGCATTGCCTAAGCAGGGCAATTTTCGGACTGTTTTGCAACAAGTGCCGCACGTGCGGCTTGGGGCCCCGCACGTGTGGAAAAAAGGGCAGTGTAAAGGTGTATTCTGCTTAAATTGCACATGCGAGAGTAGGTGTGGTGGTGGTCACCACATGTGTGGCTAGGACCTCCGTACGTGCGGCCCTTTTTGGCAAACCCGGTTTGTTTTTCGCTTCTCTTTTCCACTTTCTAGGCCTCTATTTGCATGGTCTTAAAGTGTTTTTATGATCATTTGCATCTCATAAGTGCATTAGATTGACTAAATAAAAAAACTGGAACTAAATTAATAAAGACGAGTAGTTATTGAATTAGTAACAACCGAATCGAATAGAATTGGCTAGCAATAGGAATGTCATTGAATTGTTATGCTTGAATTTGTTTGTTTAGGTCGAATGTCGAACCAATAGTACGTGTATCGAGAAGCCCACTGTGAGTAATGATGTTGTAAAGATATGTTCAAATTGTATTTATTTTCTGAATGATAAATTATATTGTTTCTAAACGGTTACCTTTTATCGATTGAATGATGATCCTCTTTTGAATTGTATTCGTGGCATCCATAGCGTATTGTTATTGTTATTGTTATTGATATCGCTATTGTTACAGAGATCTCTATCAGTTCCGAATCTTGGAACTATTGTTATTGTTTGATAGCCATCAATTGATTGTTCGGTCTTTGTAAGACCTATTGTATTGCTACTATCGGATGTACCACGTATGACCTATATGATTATGATTGATTGAATCGAACGATTGATTGACAAAAAGATATTGATTGAAAATATTCTATTGATAATTGATTGTTTCAAAGACTGTAAGGGCATCATTCTTAACCTCTTTACACATTTGTTATTCACTGGGCTTTAGTTCACAATTTATTTTATATATGTAGGTGATCGAGCATCGGACCAAAGCTAGTGGCGTCAACCCGATCTGTGACAACCCTCACCTTCAAACTAGTACATTATATAATTTAAATAAGTTTAATTGTATGATTATGTGCTTGATTGTGTGATTACATGTTTAATTCTATAATTATTTGTTGATATATGGAATATCTGTTTAAATCGATAACTTAGAGTCAGAAATTAGGAGCCTAAACAGCTTCAGAAACTGAAATTAACTAGCCCAATAGGCTAGTTAGAATATTTAGAATTTTATGGCAACTTTAATTGATGTTTGATTTGGATCAAAATAATTAAAATAAACTGATTGAATTAGTTAGAGTTAAGCCTAATTAATTAATCCTAACCATATTTGATTAGGCTAACTTAATCACATCCTATATAAGACCTAAATTAAGTTTATGAGCTCATTTCATATACACACTCAGCTGAGAATTGAGAGAGAGGATAGGAGAGTTCAACATTTAGAGAGGGAAATAAGAGAATTATAGAGAATTAGTGGAAGATTCAAAGATTAGAGCCATAACACACTTGAACTCAACACTAGGTATGGCATTCATCATTAATTCATGTAGTTATGGCATATAGTAATTGAATTCCTCTCATTTTTGAACTCATTGGCATGTCATTGGAGAAAAAAAGCTATGAGTATCATGAAAATGGAAGGATAGAGTTGAATTGCTTATATAGATAATACAAATAATAATAATAATGGGTGTGGTACTAAAATAAATAAATAATTATTATGAATTTAGGGGTCAAAGTATAAATACGTAAACTAATCCAACCTTATCCAAATAAGCTTCAAGTCTTGAGTTATAATGGCACCTAATATAGAGAGGCCACGTGTGTGGCTACGTGTCACGTATGCTTGCTGGCCAAGCCTTACGTCTAATATAAAAGGAAGAGAAAACAAGAGAAGAAAAGGAAAAGAAAGAAGAGAAAAGAGAGGAAGAAAATAGAGAAAAAAATAGTGGAAGCTAAGAGGATCTTGGATAGTGGAAAGAAAGAGTAAGGTATTAAAGTTAAGGTGAGTTATATTATACCTTAAGTTACCAAAATGTATTTTACTTATGTTTTGACTTACCAAAATCTATTTTATACAAATTATGTTTTATTAGTATATTAATAAAGGCTATTTTTATAAAGATTTCAGTTAGGTGGTTTTATTTCTGAACCCTATTTGCTTAAAAGGAAATTCATGGGTATGTTTGTTTTACTTTTAAAGAATATTTGACTATGACTTTATAAACAATTATTTTCTGTAAGTACCACCATGGGAGTCTCATGCCTTGGGAGACTTAAATAATCATAGGCCCCTGTTTGACCACTTTGTGGTCTCGTGTTTGTCATGGATCCATTGACCCCTGTAGTGATTGTCACTTTAGTGACTCCTGTTCTGTTCTGTTCTATACCGTGGTTATAGTGATTTATTTTAGTTTCAGCCACTTAATTAATTTGTGTATTCAACTCAAATTATGTTAATGTTTTAGCTTAAATAATTATCCATGGCCATTTTGTACCCTAATACTCACAGTATAATATTTCTCACTCTGCCATGTGCTTATAGTTGTTTACCAATTTTCAGGAAATAATGCAATTCAGAAATAGCTTTTGGAAGGTCTTAGATGCAGGGCTGCGGAATAGACACACACAACACTTTTATGATATTTTTCTATGTAAATATCGGTCTTTTTGGTCAGTATAATTTTATAATAAAAATAGAAGCTCCAATGATTATTTTGGTATCCTTATTTTCTTCTGCTTGTGTTTATTAATTTGTTTAAGAATTGGCCGGAAGTAACTTCGGTTACTGGTCATCACGATGTTTAACCCTTGGGTACGGGGAGTGAGTCGTGACAACGTCCACTCCTCAAGCTTCACTTGAGAATTTTCACTATTCTCTAACTCCATAGGGTGTTAGCAACCTTTTCACAGATGGAGCAATCCTCCACGAATTTTACACAGACTTTCTAAGTCCAAAAAACACTGAGAGTACTACGCTCTTACATGATTGAAAATAAGGTGTTTTTGCTTTCACAGAAAGCTATAAGAATTATCTCTTAAAGATAGATATAAAAATGAGACTTTGATTTTTCTGTAATCCTCACACAGGAAAGATGTGCTTAAAGCTATACGACTTAATGTATAATTTCTGACAGAGGATGTAAACAAAAATTGAAGAACATTTCTCAGAAAATTTTTCAGAGAATAGATGAGAGTGATTTTAGATCAAAGAACATTTTCTGGTTTCTGTAACTTGTTTGTAGTTGCTGTCACTTGTTCACATCAGAGGCTTTGGTATATATGATGAAACTTATAGCCGTTTATAGCCGTTGTCTTCATTTGAATATCTTCCACTCTATCATTACTAATTTATATATCTTCCACTTGAACCTTTTGGCCTGTTGCTGTGCTGGGCTGTTTGAACCTTTGTTTTGGGCTGTTTGAACCTCTGGTTTGAGCATTATTTTTAGGTTGAAATGAACTCCTGATTTAAGCAAATATTAAATACATTCAAACAATATTTAGGATAAAAGTTTAGGCGAGAAATAATGGGACAAAATAAATTTTGATTCTATTTTTCTCTTTCAAATAAATTAAATCATAATTAAATACATCATCAAAATAAATTTTAGATTCTATTAAAACATAATTAAATAAATCATCAAAATAAATTAGTCTAACAGTAATTACGGATACCTGGTCGGTAAAGGCGCTAAACCTATAGGGGCGAGTTTGGGTTGTGACAATAGTAAACTCAATTTCTCTGTCAACAAAATTCCCAGGTAAATCATCTGGAAAACCATCTGGGAGTCTTTAACTATAGGAATGCTGTCCACATTAGGTTTAGTAACAGTTGGCACAGTTAGCACAGAGCATAAAAATCCCCCACAGCCTTTATTAATCAACTTATTCACTTTCATGGAAGAAATTAAATATGGGGGAGATACCACACCAACTCCATGAAATGTAAATTCAGGTAATTCAAGTAATCGGAACATAGCTTGTTTAGCCAAACACAATAGTAGCACAATACTTCGATAACCAATCCATCTCTAAGATTACATTAAAATGAGCGATATTTAAAGGCAACAAATCAACATATAAAGTCATGTCCCCAATAGTAATATCACATGCAGAATACACATACGCACAAGTCATAGACCTCCCAGTTGGAGAAGATACAACCAACAAATAATGCATTGGTTCCAATGATCTAGTTAATTTTGGAGCAAAAGCATAGGACACAAAAGAGTGTGTAGACCCCGAGTCAATCAACATATATGCATTTTGGGAACAGATAGGAAGAATACCTGACACAACTGTCTCTGCATTTTGCACATCACCTGGTACTAACGCAAATACCCATTCTTGTTTCAAAGTTTCCTTCCCTATAGTCGTTTTCGGATTAGCCCTTGATGTTGAAGCTGATGCGACTGAACTTGCCATAGGCCAACTCATGTTTTGGGATCCCAGTGGACAATCCTTGATCATATGACCTGTTTTCCCACACCGAAAACATGTGCAAGAAATTCTGCGACAAATTCCATTATGTCTTTTCTTATACTCCGGGCAAATGGGTATATCATTCCCTTGGCTAGAACTATGTGAAGATCCTGTATTCTGCCTCTTGTTCTGTGAATTGTTGGAGTTGTTCCGGCCTTTCTTAAAGTTGAATCCCTGTCTCTTATATTTCCATTCGGTCACTGGTGTCTTTGCTTGTTTTAGTGTAGCAATGTTCGCCTCAGCTATAGTGGCTCTATCCAAAACATCAACATATTTTACTAACTTAAGTACATTGATTCGGTCAAGGACCTCAACATCAAGTCCACCTTCGAATTTTCTAGCTTTCTTGTAATCGATATCTACCATATGTGGTGCATACAGTGCAAGCTCGGTGAATTTAGCTTCGTACTCCGCTACTGACATAGTACCCTGCTTTAGTTGTTCAAATTCCGTCACTTTGCAATCTCTTACGCATTGTGGAAAATATTTTTTGTAAAATGCCTCTTTAAACTGTGCCAAAGTCATGGTAGTCTACTGATCACAGATAAGCATCCACCACCTTCTTGCTTCTTCTTGCAATGTGAAAGTTGCCAACAAAACCTTTTTCTCTTCAGAACAGGAAAATACTTCAAACAACTTTTCAATCTCTAAGATCCATGCTTTAGCCGTCAGCGGTTCAAGGTCCCCCAGAAAAATAGGTGGTTTCATTTTGTTAAACTTCTGCGTCAAAGTAATAATGTCACCGTTGTTGGGTAGCTCAACTAGGATTGGTGGCGGAGGAGGAGGGGGAAATGGCTGTCTCTATTGTTGTCTTAAGGATTCTGTCAATAGTTCTACTATTCGTTCTAACCGATCCATTCTCATATTAGAAGAGTCAGATGCATCTGTAGGTCTTGTCTGCTCTATTGGTCTATATGTAAACAAAATGATAATAAACACAGGACACATAGGTTTCACATTTGCATTGTTATCACACAAGCACATAAGAAACCCACACACATTCACACATGCAAGTAAAATGTCCATAATTTCCTTTCTAGGACATACTATAACTCATTTGGACGCATGTGTGCGGTATAACTCATGTTCTGTTACTACTCTGTCACAACCCAAACCTGCCCCTATAGGTTTAGCGGCATAACTGGCTAGTAATCTGAGATTACCAAAGGCCTTCCTATACGAATCAAATGATTGGGGCTTGCGAAAGCTAATATATCAGAAAATAAAACGTCCAATGAGCTGTGAAAACATACATAAGACAAAATGCATTGCTATATATATATACATACATATCTATATATCAAGATACAACAAGTTTGCCAAAATACAACCAAGCGAGAGAGTACATTCCCATTATCAACGTCTGTGTAAGCAAAATGAAACTGTTCATAACATGTGAGTGACTGCCAAAAGGGTGATCACCGAGCCACCCAAAAGCTTCGACAGATCAAAACCTCACAGTAAGGCACAAAAAGGTAGCTTGACAAAACTGAGGCAAGGTCGACGCCACTATGTCCCTTCCTGCACTAGATCACATATATATATATAAATATAAAATCATGAGCTACAACCCAGTGAATAACAACAGTGTAAAGAGGTTATGAATGATGTCCTTACTGTAATGCACATCATGTACTTAACAGATCCATATCTCATACAGGAAGCATAAATGTTATACGTGGTACATCCAATAGCAAACGAGTACAGGCAGTCTTGAAGACCGAATAGACGATCATGAAGGCCAGATAATTAGATATGATGGCCATTAATACAGTAAACAGGAATTTCGAGAATTGGAACTGACAGAGATTTCTGTAACAGTAACAGTAACCAGGTGCTAAAGATGCCACGATTACAGTGTAAGACAATAGGATCATCATTCATTAAGCAGAATAATCATTTTAGAACAGAGGATAGTATAAAGCAGAAAAGAAATACTTGTAGTTAAAGATATCTTTACAACAATGTTACTCACAGTTGACTCCGCGAGACACGTGGCTGGGATGCGGAGGCTGACCTACATAGACATACACAAGCATAACACGGTTAATTCACTGTGTAACCAACTAGTTGTTATCATTACTTATTGATTGGTTGGCCTAATTGTTCCTTATTCTCTTTTAATGCTCGTGATACCCGTGCAATGCATATGAACGTCAAATACATGTGAAAACCATGCTAACGGAGGCCCGAAAGAAAGAAAAATGAAGCAGAAAAATGAAATTGGGCCTGCTTGACAGCCGCACGTGTAGGGTGTCGTGGCCGCACGTGCGACACTCCCCACTACACGTGCGCCAGAACGTGCAATTTAAGTAGAATGTGCAGCTCCTCTCCCCTATTTTCCGCACATACGGGCCTCCCCGCCGTACGTGCGGCTTGACTTCTTGCACGTGTGGTCCTTCCTGCTGCACGTGCGATTCTAGACGACTCAGGGCCGAAAACCTGCCATGTTTTTTAGCTTCAACCCTTCCAAAAACCAAACCCAAAGTTGTACATATCAAAGCCTAAAACCCACTAAAACATGATGAATGAACAACTTCTAAGTTCAAACCAAAATCATAACTTATAATCCAATCCCAATTTGCCATTCATAAAATTAAAACTTGAAATGGAGGAGGACAAACAAGGGGTATGCATATGAGAACTCTATGGTCCAAATATCCATGACAATGCCTTCATCAACTTCAAACTCATGCAAAGACAAGTGAATAATTATGAGAAATGGCTTTTATCTCAAGATTTCAAGCTATTTCATATAATTTCTTTTTTAGGGTTTACATCTTCAACTTACACAACCCAACTTCCTAGTTCTACTCAATCCTATAATCATATGTGGGAATTACTTAATCTCATGGGTTTAGAGGAGAATTCCTTACCTCCTATGGTTGATTTGGTGAAGTTGCCTTAATCTCTCTCTTCTTTCCTCTTTCCTTCTTCTCTTCTCCTCCTTGTTCTCTAAAGCTCTAAAATTCTCTCACAACAAGGTGTTTCTCTCTTCTCTCTCCCTTATTGTTGAGTTTCTAATATACAAAATATCTAACTTTACCTTTCTTAACTTAATTTTAGGCTTAATTTAGTTTAAAGTTAAATTAAGGGTAATCTATTTAACTTAGCCCAAATTGAATCTGATTATTAAGCTTTAACCACCTAAGCCAACATTTAATTTGTGACCCTAAAATTTTATGAATCAAACAAGTTTAGTTCTTATTTTCTCCTATCTGTCAAACAAACATAGTTCAAATAGCACATGAACCACAATTAACCCACACATAGAAACATATAAGACAGATAAGTCACATGGAAACACATAATTAAGGTAAGCCATAAAAGTAACAATTAATTACGAAGGCGGGTGTTACACTACTAATGTCTTGGGGCATATTATCAGCACCAAACATTAGCTTCTACTTGTGGAGGAGAAGCCTTTCTCAAAAACTGCTATCATCTTGGTGGAGTCTTCCTTTTACAAATTAGTTACGGCAGTTGTAGTTGTTGCGGCGAGTGTTTCTCGCGGCAAGTTCAAGTGGCTTGAGATGGCGGCGCTGACAAAGTACCTCAGCAACTTGGTCGCTGCAAGTACTGCCTCGGCAAGTTAGTTGATGCAGTTTTCTTCTTTCCCTTAGCAAGTTCAAATGGCAGCACTGACAAAACTTGGAATGGCCGCGTCGACAATACAAGGAATTGCGGGGTTGAGACAAAGTGCCTTCACAACTTGACTGCTGCAAGTGTTACCTCCGCAACTTGACTTAGCCATTTTTCTTCTTGGAGTTTGTTCGGACCTTTGGCGGGTTAAACTTGTTCTGTCTCACTGTTGACCCATTTCCCTTGGGCTTTAACCCATGCTCTTTTAATCATTATTGCTCGCTTAACAGGGGCGACCTCAACACTACTTAATTTCGACCTTAATTTCTATCCCTCTACAGAGTAACACTAAATTTTTTAAAAATATTATCCCTAAATTTATTCACACGAACATAGGGTTGAGTTTTAATTGATTAATTCAGAAATAAATCAACAACTAACATGCAATAATACACGTGCTAAGCATTTTTCGTTATAAATTAAACATATCTAAGGGATGGCAAATGGCTAAGTTTTTTTTTCGGGTTTCAAATGCAAATTCTTGATTTTAAACTCAACTTTTTCAATAATACAATTTCATAATTTATCTAAATTTTAACAGTATTGACCTACTTACTCTTATACTCGACCCTAACTTATCAATGTTCTTTCAAACATTTTCTATTCAAATCACATTTTATCAAATACATTCGGGCCTGAAAATTTTGCCATAGGAAATACATGAATCAAAGGCAAAGTTATCCAAGGCACCGCCCTTGTATGATTCTTCCTTCTCGTAGGAAAAAACACAAAATGAAAGGAACAGTACACCCAAAATGAGTCAAATTTTTGACCTAAAAAAAATGAGTCAAATTTAGCTGCAATTAGCGGACTTTTTTTTTTTGTTGTTGTTTTCTTTTGTTTTTATTTTGTTTGTGAATTGGTGTCACACACTGATCTAATTGGGGTTTGAAGAAACAACCACCACATAGGGGAAAGACGTTGTTGATTAATTGTTGTTGTGCAAAGTAGACATCAAATCACGACCAAGCATTTGCAATAATACGTGAAAGGTGGGAGGGTCTATATAGTCTTTTTAAAAAATTCTGTCGGCAATGTATTTAATTAATAGTGATGTGTTTTGAGAAGTTGATAAAATACTAATTTTTTTAACTTTTTTTAACTTATTTTGTCTTTTTTGTGGTAAGTTATGTGAGAGATGATGTGACCTAAAATGTTAGCTTTCCAAAAGAGCACTATTTATTTTAGGATTCTAGACAAGACCTATACCTGCATAAAAATTCAATATAACGGTGATACTACATTATCATTGACGCGTAATGTTATCATTTAATAATAAAACTACAAATAAATAGTAAACTCTCTGCTTTTTACTTAAACGAAAATTCAACAGTAATCACGTATATATAGTGATTAGCATAATAATATATTATTAAATGATCAAATTATATGTCAATAATAATATGATTTATGATAATTTTTTTTTCTTCGAGTTGCCGTATCTTAGGCAAACACATCAATAAACCCACGTTTTTTCGTTTGTTTAGTCAATCATGCTTTGTACATTAAGGTTTGTATTTCAACCGAAATTCATTACACATGAAAACGAGTAAAAATTCAGTATCATAGAACAATTTTATTATCAGTCAATAATAAATTGAGATTTATGTATAGGTCTTAATATGTAAATTTATTATCTAATAGGTCCTATGATAATTAATAGCGTTTTCCCTCGAACACTATTAAAAAATATCACTAATTGTTCATTTTCAGCGATAATAGTAAAATTTTGTCACAAAAAAGTCGCTAAGTTTGCAAAATTTGTCACAGAAAAATATCACTAATTGTAAGCTTTAACGACAATTTATAAAAATCATGTCCAAAAAAGTCGCCAATTATCCATTTTTAGTGACATATGCAAAAAATCGTCACAAAAAATTATTTTTAGTGATAATTTTATTATGACTTTTTCAATAAGATTTAATGGGAATTAAATTCAACTATTAAGACCTATTAGTAATTTATTCCTAATGAATTTATATATAAAGGGTATTCTTGGTCAAAGTTAAAATTTGACAATAATTTTCTCAAATTCATATATAATTTATATGCTATCTTTTATGTTAAATTGTAACAATGTCAAATTTTTCACAATAAGTCAAAATTTGACAAAAGCTCTCTATGTCTCTCTCATAATGGGTCTAGGCAAACACATCAATAAACCCACGTTTTTTCGTTTGTTTAGTCAATCATGCTTTGTACATTAAGGTTTGTATTTCAACCGAAATTCATTGCACATGAAAACGAGTAAAAATTCAGTATCATAGAACAATTTTATTATCAGTCAATAATAAATTGAGATTTATGTATAGGTCTTAATATGTAAATTTATTATCCAATAGATCCTATGATAATTAATAGCGTTTTCCCTCGAACACTATTAAAAAATATCATTAATTGTTAATTTTCAGCGATAATAGTAAAATTTTGTCAAAAAAAAGTCGCTAAGGTTGCAAAATTTGTCACAGAAAAATATCACTAATTGTAAGCTTTAACGACAATTTATAAAAATCATGTCCAAAAAAGTCGCCAATTGTCCATTTTTAGCGACATATGCAAAAAATCGTCACAAAAAATTATTTTTAGTGATGATTTTATTATGACTTTTTCAATAAGATTTAATGGGAATTAAATTCAACTATTAAGACCTATTAGTAATTTATTCCTAATGAATTTATATATAAAGGGTATTCTTGGTCAAAGTTAAAATTTGACAATAATTTTCTCAAATTCATATATAATTTATATGCTATCTTTTATGTTAAATTGTAACAATGTCAAATTTTTCACAATAAGTCAAAATTTGACAAAAGCTCTCTATGTCTCTCTCATAATGGGTCTACAAATTGTATTTTTATTTGATTTTTTGCAGAAGAACAAAAATAAAAACAGTAATGTTAGATATCATGAAAAGTTTTTTATGAAAATGATCATGAAGAATTGTGACCTTTGGATTACAGATAGAATAAAGCGCAACACACTAATTAAGGTTATCTAAAGGTCACAAATCTTTCATAATCATTTTCATGAAAAGTCTTTTATAATCCTAACCTTTCTCAAATAAAAATGACATGTATGCACAAATGAAATAACATTGTCACTTTAATACCAACCATTAAAGATGCGCTCTAATTTACCTTGTTATTTTTTATGTAGAAATTATTGTAGCATCCCTATCAGCTCCCTTATATTTTAGCCTAAAATATTATTAAAAAATTTATTTCTTATTTTAAAAATTACTTTTTTAATCTAACAAACTCTCTATTCTTTCCTTAAAATATTATTAAACTATGCCTGGATTTTCCAAGAAAAAATTAATAACAAAAACAAAATCCCAATTTGGTCTCTCTCAACTCAAGCCAAAACAACAATTTCTCTGTCACACTTCACGAACACCTTATCTTCTTTTAGCATCAGTCCAAAAAAGTTGAAATCGTGTTATAATTAAAATATCTTCCAAACCTCAACCAGTCTCATTCTCTTCCACTTCTTCCCACACATCTTCGAATTCGAAAGCACACTCGCCATGGACCCAGCAAATGCATTTCATCTCCAATTTGTCCTTCCACGCCTCTCCCTCTTTCCGTCCTCGCTAGGGTTTTGATTTCACTTCGTAGAAGCCCTAGAAATTCCAATTCCTTGCATCGTACACACATGTGTCCGGCTTCAAGTTCTAAAGACATTGAAGGTTTGAGAATGGACAGAGCAGAGCAGTGACTAAGAGGCGGTCGAACTGGCCGGATGTTTGAATGGACAATCGGTGAAATAAGTTTTGCCCAAATCACTCATATGGGCGTTCGGATGGACGACCCTGACAGATATGACGGAGTTACAGTAACTCCCTACAAATAGGGAGTCACTAAATCACTCATATAGGCATTCGGATGGACGACCCTGATAGATATGACGGAGTTACAATAATTTTCTACAAATAAAGAGTCACTGTAACAAATATTAATTTAGGATGACTTATAAGAGAGCTGATGGGATGGTATTAAGGAATTCCAACCCCTTAAAATAAGTAATGGAATGACTCAGAGAGTTTGCTGCAGATGTTCTTACATCATTGACCTTAAAATCTAATCATTGTATTTAAGTTTTGTTCTATTTAGCTTGTGATTTTCTTGTGCTCAATCACTTGATGCAAAAGTAAATTACTTTAACGGTGATACTCGTGACAATCAAAGCATTTATGTCATTTTCTTTTATTAAAACAAATTATCTAGGTTTGCCAACTTTAATTTGTAGACCCTACTTGAATTCTTGGCTAGATTAAAAATCAAAAAGTTTTTAAAAAATTAAAAAGTCTATAATTTATATTAAGAAGTCAATTTTTTTTTTAATTTTTTACACATCTTTTCGTAAAAAATTAAAAAATCATTCTAAATATACTAATTTTTTTTATCTCATATTTTAGTTAAAAATCAAAAAATATTAAATAAAAATAAGGGGGATGTACCAATAAATCCCAAATTAATAACTTATGCACTGTTTAATCCTAAAAATTTTCTTATAGACTGAAAGGTCTCATTACAATGTTAATAATATCAGATACAATGTTAATAACATCAGAGTCATGTTACAAACATTGGATTTCAAACATCTAATGTTCATCAAATTTCAATAATGTTTGAAAATATAGGATGAAAAACATCTAATGTTCATCAGATTTCAATAAATTTTGAAATTATAGAATGAAACATCAGATTATTTACATCATTCACATCATGTTGATGTAAAAATGGGACTAAATGGAGCATAAGAAAACTTTTAGGACTAAATGGTTCAACGTTTCAAAAACTAGGACTTATGGGTAAATTTTCCTAAAATATAATAACAAATAGACATATAGAACATGAGATTTTTTTATCACCAATTGTTTTTTATTTCCCTATTACTCACAAATCATTAGATCATATTTTGAGAATACTGTATTTTAAGGTTTTCAGTGTCGTAAACATTTTGAGGTAAGTTAACAGAGATTTGAGGACAGTGAATGATTGGCCGACATATGGGAGAATGGATGGGAACTTTACTTTTTTGGATACAGGGATGGGAACTTTACTTGGGTTTTAGCAAAAACAGCTTATTTTGAAAAGTTGTTGGCACAGTGATATACACTATATATATTTAGAAGTGCTTTGAACCATTGTAACCTATAAATCTTGGTTTGGCTTTTCTTGCTTCATTGTTTTAGCTTAAGTTCACCATACTCCTAAGCTTCACTTATAAACTAGCCATGTCTTCTAGTTTGACCAAGAGTGCAAGCACTTCAAGTACTGATGAAGACACTGAACTTAGAAAGGGGCCATGGACTCTCGAAGAAGACACTCTTCTCATTCATTACATTTCTTGCCATGGCGAAGGCCGTTGGAATCTCCTTTCAAAGCGTTCTGGTAAGAATCAACCACTGTTAAACTATTGCAGGACTAGTCTTGGACAGGTTCTTGATTATCAAAAAAGAAAAGAAAAAATTCTATCACCAATCTTTATTTTTATCTAACTTATTTTTTGGATTGATAGGTTTAAAGAGAACAGGCAAGAGTTGTAGGTTGAGATGGCTGAATTATCTTAAACCAGACATTAAGCGTGGAAACCTAACCCCTCATGAACAACTCTTGATTCTTGATCTCCATTCCAAGTGGGGCAACAGGTGACTATTATCAATTTTCAATTTACCCTAATGACTTCATCTAGACTTGCTCCTGATTCTTGATCATGTTGAGCTTACCAAAATGATATATGAGTAGTGCCTAAAGTCCCCAAAACAGTAACTTACCATTATTCCCGAAATGAGTTGAGTAGTCTGATGATCATAAATAGTCTTAAATCTCACTTTATACATGTCAAGTTTTTAGTCTCTCAATGCTGATGCACTCTAATAAATTTGTGAGAATGAAAATCACATACATATTGACTAGTTTGCAGTAGTACAATTTTACAAAGGGAAAATTGTGAATAAGTGAAACAGTAGAGAAATTATTGCACTATATATGAAATTTTTAGTAACGGAACTCTGACACACACTTGCACCATGGGCATTGAGGATTTGTACCATACAAATAGTAAAGTTGTGCCATCATGAAAATGAAAATAATCTTTTACCGTCTCACTGATTTACAATTTTTTCATTTACAAATTTACAGTGTCATACGGACGATTCATGACCGCTATGGCTGGTTTGGCTACTACAAATTAAGCACTTTTTCATGGTTGATGATTTTGAAAAATTCACAACTACATCATGCTGTATCGTTTGATACTGCGACTAGTCACCGATTCAACTTCTGATACCACTATTTAAAACTTTACTGATGACTACTTGTCATTTGCTGTTAATATCAATACTCACTTCAGCCCACTAATTCCTAATGATTCTCTTGTTTGAACACATTGCTCTGATTTGAATTAAGATGCTTTATCAGTTTTTATCTCGATTGGCATCATTGTTACATAGTTTTAAACCATCCACTGGTTTTTTTTTAATCATTATTTTCATTCCTTTAATTCGATTATTTCAAGGTGGTCAAAGATTGCACAACATTTACCGGGAAGAACAGACAATGAAATCAAGAACTACTGGAGAACTCGGGTGCAGAAACAAGCGCGGCACCTGAAGATTGATTCAAATAGTGCCGCGTTTCAAGAAATTATTCAATGCTTTTGGATGCCACGACTGCTTCGAAAGATCCAAGGATCTCCTTCATCAGTCATGTTATCCCAAAACTCGGCTACTACACAGACTCTAATCAACCATTCATCGTTGCTGCCTCAAGTTTCTCCTAATAAAGGACATGTTCATACAAGTGAAAAAACCAAGAGTCCAAGTATTGATTATTTAGAATCCATGAGTGACTCACATATACCACAAATTTTGGAATACCCAACAAGTGATTACAACACAGTTGCGAAGGGTTGTTACAATGTTGACAACATTGGCTATGATATGGAAGCTTTTAGCTTAGCATCTATGGTGGCACCGGGCGACTTTGAAGATTCAATGGGCGGTAGCCAGGTGGCCGAAAACAATTGGGTTGGCAGTGCCGCCTTGGCGGATAGCTTGTGGAACATTGTGGATGAATCATGGGTCGTTTTATAACTATAGGGTTTTAATATTGGCGAGTGTGTATTAAAATTTTGAATAAATACAACTGATATAATAACTGTATCACTGATATTATTATTTAAAACGATGTTACAACGTAGGGCCATTGAACATGGGAATAACATACCATTAAAGTCTTATTGTAGATTAGAATTTTAAAATTTTATCGTCTTGTGATTATTACTTTCTTGACTTATAAAGATGTGTGGAAAAATTGAAATAAGTGTTGATTGAAGAATTTCCATACCATACATAGAACGTTAATTGCTTTAATCTAGCTGTCAACTTTTCTAATATTGAGAGAGAGAGGTAGGAGACCTAAACTTTTGTTTTTTTTTTATAATTTTTTATCACAACTGTCAACTTTTTTATCATAATTTCAAGGAATTAAATGAATAACTTCAAAATAACATCTAAAGTTTTGAGTTTACTTTATAAGGCTATTGAAAATTTGTCTGGTCATTAATTTTAATGTCTTAAAATTAATCGGATTGTACCTAAATTAATTTGAACAATCAATTAAAAAAATATATATATATATATATATATAAGAAAAAATTACTATTCAATTGAAATTATATAAAATTATTACATATTTATCGAAAAATTTATAATTTTTATTATCAATATTTTTAAAATTTATAAATATTTTTTAAAACTCCCCGTGTCATGAAATTTTCCCTAAATAAAATTTTATTTAGGAAATTTTACCCTTTTGTAGAAGGGACGTCTACCAACAAATCGAGACAATTCTAGGAAGCAAAATTCGCATAACTGTGCCTCTAAATGTTTGACCCTTTTGTAGAAGAGACCCCACCTAACTACTTTTTGGAAGTATCTATGGGATAAGTGATGAAATATTTTTTTGTTTTAAAGCGAAATGTGCATATTAAATCAATTATTATGTGTATAAATTTTATGTTTATATATTATTATTTTTATTGAAATCTTACCATACGAGTCACTTATTAATTTTGTGATTTATAAAAAATTGATTTAAATTTATGGATGAATCTATTTGAGATAAAATTTATAGTGACTTGCATGATTCATAATCAATTTATTTTTCACGATTTATACAATTTTAATTTTTTTAACTTTTTTTTAATAAAAATGACATAAAATTCTTCTTAGTAATATATACTGTAAGTTTTTATTTCTAACCTCACAATCACTTATTTAGGACTCTTATTCTCTATTCAAATATCTCAAATTCTGGTATTGCTGCACCAGATCTCGACAATACCACAATCTCACGTGACACCTCGACCAATACCTCGATGGCATCTCGATCATGTGGCACGACTCTAAAAACACATCCCCACATATACATACATGTTGGGGGAAAAAAAAAATTACTCATCATCCATGTAAATGACATTATTATATTAAAATCTATCTTTGTAAGGGAATTTGTAAACAATAAAGATAAAGAGTTTTAATTTTAAAATTTTAAAGAGAGACTCTAATGATGTGATAAGAGAAATAAAATAAAAACATAAACACACACATCACAGTACATGTGGACCATCGCTCCTTGTCACATCACTAAAACTCTCCATCTTTATTCATTTGCAAAAGATATATTAATATATGTGTTCAATCAATCAATTCAGGTTATTTTGAAAATTAATTATTTAATTAATTTTTCAAATTTTTATGAACAAACTTATAAAAAAAAATTTAAAAAATTGAGATAGCATTTGGTTTAATTTTAGAATCATAATTCTAATCAAAAAAATTTAAAACTCATAACTAAACATTCAATTTAAAATTCTTTTAAAAATTCAAAATTCTTTTCATGACTTTATTTTTAAAATAAAAAATTCAAAAAAAATATTTTTTGAGTTTAATCTTTAAATTTTTGAAGAAAAATATTTTTTTTGAATTTAAAAAAAAATATTTTGTTATGATTTAAATATGTATGGGCAATTCAAAATTTTTTTAAATTAAAAAAATAAATATTTAAAAAATTAAAATATAAAATATTTAAAATTAAAAATTAAAAAAATAACTAAAAAAATAAAATTTTTAAATATTTTTAAAAAATATATTTAAAATATTTATAAAAAAAAGACATGGGGGATGCACCAATAAATCCCAAATTAATAACTTATGCACTGTTTAGTCCTAAAAGTTTTCTTATAGACTGAAAGGTCCCATTACAATGTTAATAACATCAAATACAATGTTAATAACATCAAAGTCATGTTACAAACATTGGATTTCAAACATCTAATGTTCATCAAATTTCAATAATATTTGAAAATATAGGATGAAAAACATTTAATGTTCATCAGATTTCAATAAATTTTGAAATTATAGAATGAAACATCAGATCATTTACATCATTCACATCATGTTGATGTAAAAATGGGACTAAATGGAGCATAAGAAAATTTTTAGGACTAAATGGTTCAACGTTTCAAAAACTAGGACTTATGGGTAAATTTTCCAAAAGGGACAATGCACAAACGTAATAAATACAGCACACATTAAAATAAATAAATAAATATTTACAATAAAAAGTCTTTATTCTAAAAAAATAAAATTAAGAAAATTTTTAAATATTTTTTGAAAAATAAACCCAAAATATAATTCAAAATTATTTTCAAAAACTCATACCAAACAAATTTCAAAAATTTATTTTTCAAAATATAACTTTATACTCAAATTATAATTTTAAAACTAAACCAAAATAACCGTGACTTTTTAATAACTTTTAAACTATTTTAACTAGTTCCCAGACTCAGCTTTATTCTTCAATTTGATAATATTTCCTTCGTCCCAAAATATTAACTCCTTATTTCATTTTTTATAAATAATATAAATTTCTCATTTTTTCATTCTATTAAATTCATTAACATTAAAAATACAATTATGACGACAAATATTCTCTAAAAGAATATGCTATTTCAATTCATTCACAGAAAAAATATAATTATGACAATTGATATTCTCTAAAAAAATATACTATTAAAAAGTAATTTTGAAAAATCAATAGATTTGTTTGATTTAATTTTAGAATTATGATTTGAGTGTAAAGTTATGTTTTATGTTTTGAATTTTTAAATTATAATTTGAAAAGAGAAATTTTATTTGGTTATGAATTTTGAAATAATTTGAAATTTCGAAATAATTTGTATTTTTTTGATTGATTGATGTATAAAATATGAGAAAAGAAAAGAAATATAAGAGAAAAAAAAAGTAATCGATTGATTAATTAATAATAAAAAAAATATGAAATGAGTTTTAAAAATAATTTTAAGTTCTATTTTAAAAATATATTTAATTAATATATTACATCTAAATCATGATTTAAAAATAGAGTTAAATTCTGAAAAATAAACCAATCGCTATTAATATTTTTAAAATACAATAATTATATTATTAAAAAAATTCAATTTTTTAAAAAGAATTATTATTTTTAGACAAGAAATAACAAATTTGACTGGAATTTCGAATTTGGAAAAATATATGAAATGTTTTGAAAAAATGATTAAAAATTAATTTTTTTAATTTTTTTTACTATTTCATATAAAAAATGACGAGACGCAAAATGAATTAAAAATTAATTTTTAATTTTTGGGCAGGTTGCCAAAACAGACCTATATATATATATATATATGTAGTTGATTGATGGATGGGATTGGCTGCAGCCATCAACCCATGTGAATTTGACAGATCTTTGTTTTGATAAATGAATTTCAATGAAGGAATCTCTGATCCTTATCTTTACAAACTCATGATGAGATATGGTTCTCGATACAATGAATTCAAATAGTTTAATTTATAAAATTAATTTTATAATACAATGAGTTATACTAATAATTTCTCCACTTTGAATCACTTTAGTTTTGATTTTTTAATCATAACATATTTGATCTTAAATTTTAAATCTTATTTTAAATAAAAAAAATTAAAAATTTCATTAGATTTTTCAAGATCAAAATCGTCAATTTGATAAAATATAAACTAATTTGATAATAATAAATGTCAAACAATTTTTTTTAATTTTAAAAAATTATTTCTATCCACTAAAAATAAAATCATATAAAATTGATAAATATTTATTTTTTTTATCAAATTAATTTTTATTATACGTTTAGATGATGATCATGCAAAATTAATTTAAAAAAATTAATTATGTAATTTTTATCAATTTTACATAATTTTATCATTGGTGAATAAAAATAATTTTTAAAAAAATAAAAATATTTTTTAACATTTATTTTTGTCAAATTAGTTTACATTTTATTAAATTGACGATTTTGCTCTTGAAATTAAACAATAATATCTTCAATTGTCCTTATTTAAAACAAGATTCAAAATTCAGAATCAAATGTGTCACAATTAAAAAGTCAAGAACCAAAGTGACGAGTCCCAAACTATAAAGACTATTTGTATAACTTGCCCTTTATAATATATATAAAGACTTTTACATAATTTTATATATTTATTATTTTATCATTGTATTCCAAATAATTTTATTCAAACTTACAACATGTTTCATGTTTGTCTAAGCAATCCAAGCCTTAATTTTTTTATTAAAATAGTTGAACTAGCTTGGTAAGTGTCCAACAAGTACCCGTGTTGGACACGACATGCCACCTATTTAAAAGTGCTTGTGCTTCTTAGATGGTTAACTTCACCCCCTCTCCCCCTAAGTCAAATTTGAATTTACCTCCCCAATTAAATTTCTTGAAAGGGACCAAAATTCCTAGGAATTATTAGATCAATTTGGCAACCCAATCACCTTTTTGTTCAATCAACCAGTCCTCATTGAAATAATATCTGACACCTCAAGCAACTATAACGACTCACCACTCCTATCACCATCACGAGAAACCCATAAAACAAATGCCAACAACATTGACGACATTTAAAACATTAAAACTAACAGCTAGACAAGGTTTTGAATAACTCTAGCAAATGTAAGGTAATTAAAAGATGATACATGCATATATATGCATGAAAGTAAATAATACAAAAAAAATCAGAAAACAATTTTGCCAATAAGGAACAGTTCATGCAACCTCTTCAACATATTGATTTTATCTAATGAGATCCTACAAATATCATAATATTTCCAACTCAAACAACACTAAAAACAAGTGAACTCAGAGCTATCTTAATAACCAAAAGCACACAATTCAATAGAAATTTTTAATAAGCTTTAGATTGTACCTGGAACATGGCTGTGCATTAGATGCCAGCACTGTAGTCTGTAGGTTTTAACGATTTGCTAATGATCTGCATTATTATATCCTTTATCTGAGACAACTTCTTCAACCCTTCATCAGATTCAGCCTTCATTTTTATTAAATCTGCCTCCAAATCCTTGCCTTGGCCTGAGGAGGTGCATCCATTCAAATCTTTGCCCTTGACGCCCACACCCTTGCCAAGAACACAACTGTTGCTCAGTTTCTCAGCTACATCACAATCATTCACCACGGGACCTTGAGAAGTGGCCGTGAGCGTCATCGAATCAATTTGTTCCTGAAAAAATATATTAGATACATCAAAAACATCACAGAGTAACGAATGAATGCCAGAAACTGCATAATTGTATTGACTTATTATGTAGGCAAAGTCATATTCCTTTTATGTTAATTCATACTATTTATGCTTAATAAAGTTTCAAATACATCGTAGGGATCATTTCAACAATTAAAGTGGAGTTTATGAGGAAAAGGTGGGCCCAACTCTTGGATACACGATTTGCATGGCTTAAATGAAAATTAAGCAAAGTGAAGAGAGGAAATGTGTTTCAATGTGTGGGCCAGGGTCCAGCTGTAGATACACACGAAAGGCCATATTAGTTATGGGGCAAGAATACCAACCAGACCCTGTTTCTGGATAATCTATTCAACCACAACCTTTTTTTTTCTATAACATACTAAATTATTAGGCCTATCCCATGACTCCTGGGCAGGAATCCCATGATGTTGCCACAAAAGTTTCTGAACACTTGTTCATTTAAAAAATACAATAAAAATTCACCTTGAATTTACATGTCACCCTAAATTCCTAATTGGAAATCTATTTCAGTTTCTTTCCCTTTCCAAAAAGTTTGTTTTCCTAGAATTGACATGCTCATTCAAGTACCACCCATTCAAAGAGAATTTGAAAATTTTTCCCCAAGTCCTTAACACTCGTTCTTTTAGACTTCATTTCTCCTACAAGTATGCTTCTCTAGCATCCAAGAATCCCAAACAATTTTTGAGAGATATCTTTACCTACAAATATGTTTCTTTAGCATCCAAATGTGAATCCCACTCATTCTGCAAAGAAAAAGTGTTAATGCCACTCCCATACTATTTGCGCAAGCGGTGGATGGTTTTTTCCAAGGTTCCTTAATACCCATTATTGCTTGTATTTCCATCAGTTAACTTGTCAAAAATATATCAATCAGTTATTGAAACATCCCTGAGTTGAAGTGGCAAAAAAAAAAAGTATAGAGTTTGGCAAAGTCCTCAGCATGGTGTTGAGGCCCCATTCTTGCTATGGTCCTCATTTGCTACCTCTATCTCTCTCTTTATCTCTTCAAATTGGAGGCTATATTCACAACGCTGCCTTCGAATATCAATCACAAGTGCATCTATTCGTGCTTGAGAGCTTTGGTCAAACCTGGAAACCACAAAATTAAATGCACAAATTAATAAGAATTCCAATGCATTACAACTTGATAACAATTTCCACTGCCTTGTGTGGAAATCAACATGCCAACCTAAACTTCTACAAGAAACAAATTAAAACAAGGATATATAACCATACATAAGTGACTACTATTCCATTTATCACCACACTCTACAAACCATTTATTTATTTATTTATAATAAACAACAGGCATTTTTTTATTTTTTATGTCTAAGACAATAGGAAAACTATGAGAAAAATTATCAATATTCTCAACATGACTAGCACAAAACCCACCCATGTGGAGAAACAGCAACATTAGGCCTCCTCTTTCGGACCAAGTCACGAGTATTAATCTTACTGTGACAAACTGTCCACAAAACCTGCAACTTTTATGGGCACTTTAGCCTTCTATATCATCGCTGAGAGACCAAAAAACCAGAATAAGCATATCATCAATCAAATAATAGAATATAATATGGCATGTATAAGAAACAAGGCAATTACATCAACAACAAAAAAAAAAAACAAAAATAGCAAGTCTTGGCAAGCATGAAAAGAGTCTCCGGATTGAATATGGATTAAATGTTACAAGTTCAGCATACAAATTCATCTATTTCCCACCAGTTTTTATGAGCTAATATTTAATCCCATTATCAACCACTGCCACAAAAAAGTATTCAACACGGCTGATCAGTGTTCGTAGCATTCCAGAACAATTTAACATCCAAAACCTGAATATTACGGTTTGACATATTTATAGGCAGGCAACCAAATCTAGTGGTATATAATATGAGTAAGATAAAACTGAGAATTAAATGATTAAATTTGAGTTGAATCAAGCTTTTACCTGTCTTTCCTCTTCTTGCTCACTCGCCTTCTAGAAAATGCATCGTTTGGTTTATCGAGTAAGATTAGGTTCTCCTCATAAGTATCAACAACAAAACGGTGTGCAGAAGCATAAACTCCAAATTCTTAATTTGCTGGCTCGAAGGATCATATGAAGAAAGCACCTAATCCCTTGGTGCATTTGCCTCCAATAATATATGACCATTATTCCGTACACCTAATAGCTCCGTAATTCCTCCGCTTAGATCAACTGTGAACTGTTTACACAAAGAATCAACTACGCCATACTCTTTCATCATCCAAATGGAACAAGACTTGTTTGCAGCAGTATCTTCGTAACATAACAGAGAAAGCAATCCCCCAAATACTGAAGTACGGACCTCGGTTAGCGGGCCTACAATACCATCCGGTAACAACATCGTTTGAAACAACTTATCACACAAATCAAATGACAAAATCAACTTATCATTGGTTTTCTTCAGTCACAACAAAATGAACCGCCCCTTCTAAATAAGCAGCGAAGCGTCCTGAATAACTTATAGTAATCCCATCCGGATAAGAGTCGCTCCCTGTGCTAGACATTCTCCACGAGCCCGCATTAAGGGAGTAAACCTCAATGTGTGCTGTTGTTGTTGTTGGCTGCTCCACATTGGGCAATTTAGTTGGATAAAAATCCACTATTCTAACCAATTTATAATCGTTGGTCCGGGGAACAAATCCAAACCCATGATAATGCATAGAGGTTGTTAATGTATATTATATAATGTAGTGCAACATTAGTATTATAATATGTATTAGATAGTGCATTGCTTTCGGTTCCTTTCGGCTACTTTCCCATGATGGTGTTTGCATCATGTTTGTAGCGTAGCATCTTCTCTCCTATATAAAAGAGTGTGTGCACCTATTCAAATATGTAATATACAACATCAATATATACATAATTGATTCTCTCTCTTTCTCTATACATTAAATATCTAACATGGTATCAGAGCTATAGGATTTAGGCCTGTATTTCTTTCTCACCGGCGGGCAGCCGGCCGGCAACTTTGCCTTTGCTGCCCGTTGGAATTTTCTACACATACCTTCCACTCTCCACAGCCGTAACTCTGCAAGAAGAGAACTCTAAGCTCTATCTCTCTCTCTCAATTACTACATCATAGTCTGATCTAATGGCGCCTCCTCCAGACACCCCGCAAGACCTCAAAGCTCGAACGCTACAACAGCTACATGAGAAGAGTAAACAGCACAAAGCTCTTAGCAGTTTCCTCTAAACTCCTCTTCCGAGTCACTCTCTTAGTAGCCCTCGTCCTCGTCTTCTTCTTCACCTTGAATTACCCTCTTCCACAACTGCAGCCACAACATCATTTGCAAGCTCAGCCACAAGCACATGTTCAAGTGCCAAAACAGCAACACCTTGTTTTGTTGTCTTCACAGGGTCAGGTTTCAAGCATCCCACCAGCACAGCAGCATCTGGTTCATCCTCATGCTCAGCAACCTGGTCATCCTGGTCTCCAGCATCCTGTTTTGCAGCCAATGCAACAACCAGTGTCTCAACAATATTTTCAACATCAGCAGCCATTTCCAGGGCAAACACTGGGTCCTGCTCAGAATCAGTTACATCCACATGGCCATTTCATACAGCAGCAGCCTATGCAGTATCAGTTACGCTCTCAGGGCCTTCCTCACATGGAGCAGCAAACTTCTCAGGACAATATGTCGTCACAACAAAATATTGCGCATTCACATGGTTTGCAAACTCACCAGCCTCAGAATTACGCTGCAAGACCAATGATGCCAGGCCATGGGGCACAATCACAGCCCTTTCCTCAATCTCCTGTTGGATATGCTGGTACATCTCAAGTTAGGCCAATGCAGCATGGTGCAAACTCCATTTGGTGGTTTGATCTTAGTGGAAACCAATATCATCATATTTTATTTTATTTCATTTCCACCCACCCATGCCTTCTTTTATTAATACAATACATCTTGCTATTTTTTTAATAGTCCCACCGAGAGAGAGGTCCACTTTCCTCCCCATCAACACCTTTCTTTTTTATTTTTTCCTCAATGGACTGACACTCTCCTAATCCCACAACTCATTCTCTTTCTTTCTCTCTCTCTCTCTTTTCACTCACTCTTCCACTACCTCACCTTTATTTTCATTAGTAAAATGGTGGTCTGGGTGGTGGATGAGAGAGTCTCTTCGCTCTTTCACACGCAATTCCCAAACACATCCACTACCTCACCTTTATTTTCATTATTATAAAGCTCTATTGATAAGCCCCTTTTCCAGCATGTTCCCACTCTCTTCAACTTTCTTTTATTTTCTATATATATATATACATATTTTTTTTATTATAATATATTATATCAACATACCAGTCCACAGATTCAAACCACCTCTGATTTTTCAAATCTTTATTTTATTTCATTTCTTCACACAATAACCAAAACAACACAAAACAAAAAAAAAACACCACCAACCACAACCACCGACCTTACTTTTTCACCTCTTTCGCTACTCTCTTCCTCTTGCCTCCGCCTTTGGGCATCCCTTGACGGCCTTGCCTCCGTGCTTCCCAATCCACCAAGCACGTTGCCTCTCCACTGCTCCTCAAACACAGCATATGGCGGACCTTCGAATTGGAACATGACAGTGGCCTTTCATTTTAACTCCTTGTTTTCCACCTTCAATGCACATATCTCTACTCGCGCATCCTTATACATGCGCTAGAGCGGAGCGAGTTGGGCATTTAATTGATGCACCTCACTAGTTCTATTCTGCAGCCAATACGACAACTTGGAGACCGCAGTCACTGTCTCCAAGCACGACTTCAACGTAAAATGGTTGGCTTCAATGTCCGTTTGTGCTGCTATTATTTGCTCCACTGACAGTATCAGAAAGTTCAACGAAGCAAAGGCATCTGCACTCGGTCCAGGGGCACTTGGTTGCACTTCAAGGGCGACAGAACCGGTTATCTCTATTATGGACTCATTCAGGTTTGGAAAAAGGGTGAACGGACCACGGGAAGAAGATGCCATGTTATGTTAGGGGTTGCAGAGTATTTTAGAAAAGCAGAGTGTTTCAGGAAATGTCAGAAAGGGTTTGCAACTATCAGAAAATGAAAAGATTTCAGAATGGTTTGTTTTGCACTGCCTCTATCCAGTCTCTGCCTCGATTTAAATAGCGAGCAAAGAGACGAAGACGACAAACGGGAGCGAGAGCCACGTGAATCGCGCAACACTCAAAGCCACAGTGTCATGCATGACTTTTGATGTATTGGGCGTGACTTTTGAAGGCGATATATATATATATACATGTATATCTTTGGGCTGCTTATATACACGACCATACAGTGTATTCTCCAACAGTCCGACACGACCACACAGTGTCTGCTACAAATGATCTGACACGACCTCACAATGTCTTCTACAGTGGTCTAACACGACCACACAATGTCTTCTACAACGGTACAACTTGACCACAGTGTCTTCTACAACGGTACAACATGACCACACAGTGGCTTCTACAACAGTTCGACACAACCATGCAATGTCTTCTACAACGATTCGACATGACCATACAGTGTCTTCTACAGCAGTTTGAAACATCCTTACAGTGTCTTCTACACCGGTCTGACACGAGCCATACAGTGTCTTCAATATTACATATTTGAATAGGTACACACACTCATTTATATAGGAGAGAAGATGCTATGCTACAAACATGATGCAAACACCATCATGGGAAAGTAGCCAAAAGGAACCGAAAGCAAATGCACTATCTAATACATATTATAATACTAATGCTGCACTATATTATATGATATACATTAACAGCCCCCCTCAAACTCAAGAAGGATATGTACCAATCAACTTGTGTTTGGAGAAAGTAACAAAATAGGAAAATAAATAAAAATAAGATATGAGACACTGTATGGTCGTATCAGATCGTTGTAGAAAACACGGTATCGTCATGTCAAACTGTTGTAGAAGACATTGTATGGTCATGTTGGACCATTGTAGCAGACATTGTGTGGTCGTGTTAGACTATTGTAGAAGAGACTGTATGGTTGTGGTAGGCCGGTATAGAAGACACTGTATGACTCATGTCAGACCAGTGTAGAAGACACTGTGAGGATGTGTCGAACCGCTATAGAAGACACTGTATGGTCGTGTCGAACCGTCGTAGAAGACACTGTGTGATCGTGTTGTACCGTTGTAAAACACACTGTATGGTCGTATCAGACCGTTGTAGAAGACACTGTGTGATCGTGTCAAATCGCTGTAGAAAACATTGTGAGGTAGTGTCAGACCATTTGTAGCAGACACTGTGTGGTCGTGTCGGATCGTTGGAGAATATACTGTATGGTCGTGTACATAAGCAGCCTAAAGAGATACATGTATATATATCGTTCCTTCAAAGGTCACGCCTAATACATCAAAAGTGGCGCATGACACTGGCTTCGAGTGTCGCGCGATTCACGTGTGTAGACACAAATTTTAAAACATGAAGTGTTTCAACACATTTCAAAATTTTATGTTACAAATGTCCACTGTTTAGTCTTTTTGA